CCCCCCCCCCAAGCCTGGCTTTTTACCTTTGAAATGGAAGCAAAGGGGTGCTGGAGGGCCCCCAGTGGGATCTGCCCATCTCTGAAGCATAAAATTACAAGCCCTGTGTTGGGTATTATGTTTTGCTGGTTCCAATTTCATGACCAAGATGAAAGAGCCAGAATAATAAAGCTGTTTTCGTGGCTACTCTGCACTGTTTTTTTGCCGGCTTGATGGACGGAAGATGTCTGGAGGGGGACCCGGTAGATCAGGATGGGTAGGAGTGACGACAGATGAGAATTCCTGCACCCTGCAGGTCAGGGCTGGCCCTTGGAGGTGACTAGCTCACACGACCATTAGAGAAGTCAAAGGGATGCAGGGCATCTGTCGTAAGCCAGCCGGCTTGAGCGTCTGCTCCTGTAAGACAGGAGTGGCTCTTCTTGGGACATCGCAGACGTGCAGCTTTATTCTTTCTGGCCCAAGTGGCTTGTTCCACAAAGCAAACGAGGCAGACGCCGCCCTTGGCTTAAGGTCGTGATGATTTGCCTCAGTTCTCCAGCCTTCTTGGCGTGTGTGACTCCAGGAGCGGAGATAGCAGGGTCCTCGGGGAAGTGGTTGGTTCCAGAACTGGGGTGGGGAAAATAGAAGCTGAGCCGGGAACGTCTTGTGGAACCAGAACATACGGACGTGCTTGCAACAGACGGGGTGCTTGTTGAAAGAACGCAGGAGCCAGCTGAAGGGGCTCCCCGGGGCCACAGTGGGGACCGTTTGAGCAAGAAAATAAATGAAGGTACAATTTGATGGTGCCCCACAGATAAGCCAATGTCTGTGAATCCATCCTGATGTGAAAGTCACTGCACAAGGGGCGGCTCTTACAGAGGGATCCCCGTTAGTAATGTAGGAGGGGCTGAAGTACAGACGCGCTGCCAGGTGGGCGCCCGGTAATCGCTGCTGCCGGCCAGGCCATTTTGGGAGCACGGTATCTACACAGTTTCAAAGTACCTGCCCCAAGGTACTGACTCAGTACACATGGAAAACCAGGCCTTTTTAATGGAAAAACCCAGCAGAGCCCGCCCCAACTAGCAATCAAGGTCAGCCTCCCGGTAACCAGGCTCACAGACGCCACGTGCCCAGTGTGACACTCCAAGGACTCGATGTCACTGCTGCAGGGCTTCAGCCAATGTGGGGACCCATGGGACGTGTCAGACAACCCACACACGCGGTCATGGAGCTCACCCTTCAGAGGTGTGGCCACTGAGAAAGGGCCGACTGAGGGCCAGTCTCGGGGAGGAGGTGCGGGGCCGAGCGGCCGGGGCAGGGCGGGAGCCTGGGCTGGGGGGTACCTGGGCTCCTGTGTGGGGGATGGGCGGCACAGAGGGAGCAATCGGTCAGGCAGGAGGGGGGGTCGCAGTGGGGAAGCCGAGAAACGTGGCAAAGGTGGGACCCAAGACAGCCTCTCCCACCTTCGTTCGGTTGGTTAAATTTGGGGGTTTCGTGTATGCAGCAGGATGGAGAGATCCAAGATGCTTTGGGTGAGCACTGACAGGCGAGCATCATTACCATCATTCTAACAAGGTGTCGGGTGCGTCCGTGCCCCAAGGCTTTCCTTGGGCTCCTAGTAGTCGATACCTCCCCAGTTCCATGCTTGGACCAGGGCAAGGGGACCCCGTGCCTCAGGGGTAGGTCGACAGCTTTAGCAAATGAAAAGGCTTTGGCCACCCTCGTCAGGGGCCCACCCTTGGAAGTGCCTTCCTTGGAGTTTCCTGGGAACAGCTGACGCCATCGGTCCCTTTTGGGGTGCTCTGGTCCTCTGTACCCCCACTTCCCGGGATCACTCGGTCCATCCCTCACACATGGGCCTTGCTTCTGTTCTAGCTGCTGAGCCCAGGTGGCGGGGACGCGGGTGTCGGACTCCGAATGTGGTTTTAAATTTGGACTGCGGCAGTGTGAGCGGGGGAGGGTGCCCCCAGAGGACTGCAGGCTCTGCATCTTCTAGAGCTTGTCATGCCCGCATGATTCGTATCCAGATCTGCCACATCTGTGTGCGCCCTCTCTGTCCCCCTCATGGCAGAGCCAGCCTGCTCCGGGGGTGTCCCTGGGACCCCTGGGGCTGTGGGCGGCAGGTCCCCGCCGCCCCCGTGGGTGCTGGTCAGGGAGCCTGCGCTGGGGCTCGGGCACGCGGTGCTGGGCAAAGCGCCCTTGGCTTCCAGCCCAGAACCAGGAGCCTGTGCCCATCCAGTCCTGCTCACCAATCCTCCTGTTTAGTTCGTTAACCTGAAAATGTGAGTTTGCCAGTGTGTTGGGGAGACTGCCAGCCAGCGTGCC